GCGCGCGCACGCAATTTTAAGGCTTGACATGTTTAGTGTCTTTTTACCCGACGTGACCCCATCTTTTATATTTTACCAAAAAATTGGGTAATAATAAATGTTTTATCATTTAATATAGGGGAAACTGTTTTTTTTTTTTTATTTCGGTGATTTTTCCTTAATATAGTAAAAAAATAAAAACCCCCAGTGGTGAATAAATACCACCAAAAGAAAGCTCTATCTGTCCTCAAAAAAGGGTATAAAATTCATTTCAGTACAGCGCTGCATGACGGAATAAATGTCAGTCAAAGTACCGCAGCGCTGAATACTGAAAAATGGCCTGGATGGGAAGGGGGTTTAACACCGCGGATGTCAACTGGTTAAAAGAATGTTTCTGCATATATCTACTGCTTGCTAGCTGTGTGTGTGTGTGTGTGTGTGTTTATATATATATGTATGTATATGTGTGTGTGTGTGTATGTATGTATGTATGTATGTATATATATATATATCACACTGAGGGTTTAATAATCCTTGTAAGGTTTAAACATGAAAGAATGAAGCTGATTGGTTACTATGGGCTTCTGCCCTGGGTTCTTCTCCACTTTTGATAAATTCCCCTCATAGGATTCTGACACAACTCTCGCCTAATGTTCTCCAGTGAACAGATGAGTACACTGAGCTGGCCCAGCACAGCAGAGACAACACAATTTTCTTGAAGCTTCTCCTCGCCAACCTTCTCAGTGTCACTCTGCCCGGTAACTGCTGATCATCTCTCTAATCATTTTCCTATTGGAGGGAGATGAAGTATCAGTACATTGCTCCGCCTTTTTGCACAAAGATCATCGACTCATCCTGTTTTTCGTCACACAATGTGAAGTTCACGGTGGTGTTGTTTAGACTCTCTCCATGGATGAAGATGACGCCCCTCATCCTGATGATTCTGGGGGTGTCAGGGGTGTACGGTGGTAAGTAGAGGACAATCTCTATTCATCTTGTAAGTTTTGTATAGAATTGTAGAAATCAATGTTTAGTGTGAGGTGAGCGGTGATAAAGGGAGAAGTATTGTGGAAGTGACCAGCGTGGGATGTCGCTGTGACTGCTCTCCCGGCTCTGAAGTGTCTTTATTGATTATTGATCTTTGCTGACAATTGACAGCCGTGTTAGTGAAGTTACATACAGCCATTTCCTATTCTGTGTTGAACTTCCTGAATCAGACAGGATGGAAGCAGATCAGATCTGCGTCAGATGTTATTATGTCGGCTGATCATTAAAATGGAACTTCAGCCAAATCATTTTATAGTTATAGATACATCGGGGAAAAGGTGGAAACCCTGGCAGGTTTTTATTGTTTTCACAAGTCATCCCTAAAGATTTCCCCTCCACTGTTTTCATGACGACTGCAATGTTATAGATGACGGGGAATCCTTCCTTATTCCATACAGAACTTGGGGCAGAAGTTCCACTTTAAGCTGCATTTATTTACAGTTATTTATCTTTACTAGTAATATTGATTATAAATAAATGATTTATGTAATTATCATTTTTAGCAATTTATTTTCAGCCCTTTATTTTCACATCGAGAACGTCCATCTTTCTACAGATTATGGATCTAGGTTGTGTTCTTGTATGACTGATCTCTTCTTGCGTGCCGAGCTGGCCGCAGCAATTTCTTACTATTTGCACACACGTGATAAAAATCTGAATTTTTGGCTAGAAAGCAGCTTCAGACCCCCAAACAATGATATATGTTCTGAAAGCAGAGGCCCTGTAGAATAAAGAAATGCTAGTTGCAATTTTGATGTCACACGGTATTTGCGCAAATGTTTATTAAACAAGTATTTTTAGGATAAAATACACTAAAAGGAAATTTAGTGTACAGAAACATTATATAATACAATCTACAACTTTTTTGGTAAAATATAAAAGTCGGGGTCACGTCGGGTAAATAGACACCAAACATGTCAAGCCTTAAAACCGCAAAAAACTACAATACCCAAAATTTCCCATACACGACATATTAAAAAGCTTTTATGCCTCATCAGTTTAGTGATAGCTGTGATTGATGGGCCTAGAATTATTGCTCTCACTCCGACGTTCGCAGTGATATGTAACAAGTGTGGCACAATTGTTTTTGCATATAGGCACATCCAACGCGTGTTTGCGTTGTATGTGGGGGGACTTTGAAAAACATATTTTTTTACTTTTTTTTATGTAAAATTTTTATTTTTACACTCAATTTTATTGCTATCACATAATAATAATCACCCTATGTAATAGCAAATATAATGTAACAGGTCCTCTTTATGGAGACATCCGAGGTCTTTCAGACCATTAATGTCACCTAGGGACCCCAAAGAAGCTGATGAAGCACAGATCTACTTCACCAGCTTCTTCTCCTGGCTTTACAGGTGCCCATACACCTTACGATTATCATATGATAATCGTGTGCGATCAACTTTTCGTAGGACAATCGTAAGGTGTATGTGTAGTGTGCAACCGGCAGTACTGTACAATCGTACGACTTTTGTCTTTCCTGCATGTTCAGAAACTTTAGTGAATTGTACGATTTTCGCATGGTTGGTGGCGTTTCCGTACGTCAAACGTCTTACGATTAACACTGCTCATGCGCAAACAAAAATACGTGCGGTCGATTACAGCTATTTGTCCAGGTTTTTGTTTTTTTTCACTACTGCTGATTGAACCTTGCGATAATGAGGGCAGGATGGGGCCGGCGTACGACAATCGTACGACGGATCAATCATTGGACGAAAAGTTTAGTCCGATAATCGTAAGGTGTATGGCCACCTTAAAAGGAGAACTATGGGGTTAAGGCTTTTCCCCATAGTTCTCCTTAGGGTAACGGGAGGACACAAACTTGCATCCTCCCGTCACCCTAGGCTCAGTATACCGCGAGCTGCAGTGGGCTCATTTATACAGACTCCCGCCGGGACTCTGTTTACATTTGTAAAGCTGACTGTCGGCTTTACAATAGAAGCCATTCTGGCGACTCAGCTGTCGCCAGATCGCTTCTACGGGCCTGTAAACTACCCGCCCAATACCCCCACCCTGTTTTCCGGGCTCCGCTGCCCCTCCTACGGGCCTGGGACGGGTGTCGGTGGGAAGCTGGGGGAGAGAGCGGTGAACGTCCGATCACCGATCTTCTCCCCATTCTCTGGGACCGGGAGCGATGCAGATTACATCACTTCCAGTCCCATAGCTGTCATTGCTGGGCTCCTGAAGCCCAGCAAGGCCCGATTCTGGCCGGAACGTACTGAATTGCATTTCGGCCGGCTCACTTTGATTTGGGGTGGGAGGGGGTGTGGTGGTGCATTGAACTCAACTCAATGGCACACCCCCTCCCGCCCCACAACAAAGTTTTGTTACCAAAACTGTGACCTATGAGCACCCCCGGGTCTTTTTCTATGGTTGACTTCCCTAATGTAGCACCCCCCGAGTGGTAGTTTGCGCATGTGTTCTTTGCTCCCATGCGCATAACCTTACATTTTTCCACATTAAATCACATTTGCCATCTTGTAGCCCAGGCCTTTTGTTAAGGTCCTATTGAAGTGCAGTATGCCGTTTTTATAACTTCACAGATTAAGATAAAATTAAGTTTAAACATCATTGGTCAGTTATCTAATAATCCAATAATATCAAGGATTAAAAAATACATCCAATCATAGAATACATTCCCTCACATCACATAGCAGGAGTCTTAACTAGATATTAATATGGCGGCTGGCTCCTTATCAAGAGGAGTGTCTCACAGCCCCGAGCCTGATAGACAAGTGGCGTGCATTCATTTATAGATGTTTTAAACTATTAATACCATATACAGTATATACGTTCCTTTCTAGAATATAAAATACATGTAGGCTGTGACCGTACAGTGGAATATCTTTTAAACTGTCACTCCGGCTATCATAACACTCACATTGAGGGTGTGCCTTGTGTCCCATTTAATAAGCAGACTATGATCACTTTCTATAATATGTATTATTAAGGGAAAATATCATTCTGGTGAATATTATAAACATTTGACAATGTGATTCAGCAGGGATCATTACTTCTCCATACACGTGCAGGAGAGGAGTGTGGAGGATATGATGGAGGCAGTACATGCAGGAGAGGAGTGTGGAGGAGATGATGGAGGCGGTACATGCAGGAAAGGAGTGTGGAGGAGATGATGGAGGCGGTACATGCAGGAAAGGAGTGTGGAGCAGATGATGGAGGCGGTACATGCAGGAAAGGAGTGTGGAGGAGATGATGGAGGCGGTACATGCAGGAAAGGAGTGTGGAGGAGATGATGGAGGCGGTACATGCAGGAAAGGAGTGTGGAGCAGATGATGGAGGCGGTACATGCAGGAAAGGAGTGTGGAGGAGATGATGGAGGACATACAGTAATCACAGCTCCCATACTTCTATCTTGGCAGCTCTGTGTACATTTCCTAATTACCTGACACTGGGAGTGCAATCACTGGCTGCTGAAAAAAAGAAGGCAAAGCATGGCTGACTGATAAGCTCAGATCTACATTGTCTTCTGTCTGCAGCTGCAAACTGTCATAATTCCTGCTCTAGGAATGGATGGGGGATGTTTGTGGCAGCGCTGAGTTCAGGAGTGGAAGCTCTCAAGTGAACAGCTAAACAGAGGCCATCACCGCTCTCTTTGTCTTTGTAATCATTGTCTCCAAGCAGGGCCATCTCTATAATGAGGCAGCTTGAGACGGTGATACTGTGGCCAGCATCCCACCCAGCTCACTGATGTCTCTGGTTGCCAGGAGCTGAGCGGGACACTCTGACAGGAGTCTGGGGGGGGGGGGGGGGAGACGGCTGGGG